ACATAGTACTGTCCTGTGATATATTTAAATGTGAGACCTTCCACGTTGTATATATTGACCAATTCTATGGCGCCAGATAGCTACATTTGAGATGAATCGACATTATATTCGGTTTTATACTTTTATATATTCACAAAACAATCACATAGCCATTTTTTTACTCAATGTTGATTTGTGACAGAGGAAAGGCTAGGCCTTTGAAAGAGACATTTGTATGCTTAAAGACAAGGAGTAGAATTAGATTTTTAAGCTTTGCTTAAAGTTAGTCGTTTGCATGGTGATAAGGTCAATGGAGTTTTTGATGATAATTACTAGTTTAATTAATTAACTATATATAAACTCTGCTTACCTACTTCAGGACATATCCCATTAACAGTAGTTATCTGTTTGGCAGCCTAGAAAAACAAAGGAAAGGAATTAAACAAGTGATATCCCATTTTATCTTGCCATCCAAACACTCCCTTGGTGGATATCTTGTTTCCTGCGAGAATTGGTTAATTAGTTTACTTGCAATTTGCTCAAATACTGTTTGATTTTTGTGTACCAATTGCTATTTCATCTCATTTTCTCATTCAGGAATATATAAATATCAATACATATCATTTAAATAATTAAATTTTTACACCTATATATATATATATTTTAGCATATATTAGTGGAGACTCGTAAAATACACGTAATTTATTTTATTCCCTACTCTCACCCTACCCCGCCCATTTGCATCTTATCGTACCAAATCTCTTGCAACTTGCAAGTTTAGACTATAGCCACAGCCAGCTCACCGTCCAAACCTCAATCTCACTTAATTTGTATATTATTATTTGGGAGAAAATTAGAAGTTAATCCCCCAAAAGATAAAAAAAAATAAGATTAAAAAATCTTAGTTAAGTTTAATTGAGGGGGCCTACAATAGCTTTTGATCCCTCGTATAGTTTTCTCAAGGGTCAGAACTGTAAAAATACACCAAACATATAGATATGTGCATGTATAAGTACAATTAATTTTCAAATAATAAGATTTATTTGTTTGCAAAAAAAAAAAAAAAAAAAACAATTTATATGTAACAGTGAACATAGTTTACCAGGTCAATACTGATGGCCAACAAGGTCAACACCTTAAACGCGTCGTCGTATGTGGTTTGCGCTCTCCATTAAAATACGTCGTCGTTCCCACCCTTCCATGGCAAACATTACTTTTCTCTTCTTCTTCTCTCTCCTCGCTGCCCCTCCTTAAAGTTGATTCCGGAAATATCTTCCACGTTCCTTCCTCCTCCTCTTAGTATATAGATATATCACAAATTATATATATATTATTCGCCTATTATACTATTCGAATATTATAGTATTTTTATTTTAATACAAAATGTGAGTTATATTATAGTCATTTGACTTGTTTTAATGCAAAAAATCTATATTTAAAGTCTATATGTATATTTAAAATTTTTAAAAATAATATTTAATTAGAATTATAATTAACGACCTAATTAATGCGTAGTATGAGATAGAGAGATATGAGTTTTAGAATTATGGAAGGAAAGAAAATTTTGCTCAAAATTTTGTTTTTTTTTGGGGGGGAGGGAATTTCACATTAGGACCATTGAATGAATATTTCGTCAAGCAATTTGAGCCACAAAAAATTAAAGACAAAGTAATCTAACTAAATTATTATATAGATATATAACTCATACATAACACAAAATGGAAACCGAAACCGAAGATAGAGTCTGTATACGTTATGTTACTTGTATATAAGTTGCTAACATGGTTGTGCTCAGTTTACAACAGTAGTTCATAACTGTGGTGATGCTGCAATAGCCCACATGAAATCATAAGATTTTAGTTATCTAAAAATATAATTTGTGTGTTAATGAAAAGTATAAATTAGAAGAAAATAAAGCATTACTGGAGTTTAAGATTTCTTGGAAACAAATATTTAAAATTAGACTTAATAGTATAAAGATAACTAAGATAAAATTTAATAATTTTTTATGAAGAAAAATAAGATTTCTTGACGAGTTGCTTGGATTAAAATTGATTCCTCCATCCCATATACCACGACATAAACAGGAACACCCTTATACCTGTGACCACCTCTAGTTGGTAGACGTTATTGATCTGAGGTCCATGCCGGAATGCCTGCCCACTGATTCCGGCGTTCGACAATGTCCCTCCGACCGTTAGACGAAGAAAATCAGTCCAAGACTTTGGAGACAGCCCATGTTTAAGACTTTCATTCAGAATATTTACCCAAAGTTCACCGCCGGAAACATCCACATACGGCAGCTCTCCGGTGTAAAACTGCATTTCTGGTCCCCGGAGCGATTTCATATCGATCACGATCCCCCGATATGCCTGTGCTTGACCTTGAACAGAGTGGCCATTGCCTCTTGCTGCAACTGTGAGCCCTGAGGTGGTGCCCATTTCGTTAATATTTTTTATTATGGTGGAAATATCAGAAACTGTTTCTGGGTAGAGAATTGCAGAGGGAAGGAAGTGGTATATATTGCCGAAGTCCGTGGCTGCTTCGTGAATGTTTTCAAAGCTGAGATTGCCATCGAGGATCAATGGCTTTAGTGATAATTGAATGTTTGAGGAAGATGATGAGCGAGGAAAGATTGTAGCTTTGGCCAAAGGGTGGTGGGTAGAACAAGTCGATAGTAATACGACAATGAGAAATATGAGGATCATGCGGTTTTGTTTGAGCAAATTTTGGGGTGGTGTCTTCATTTCCTTTTTCTTTTTTTTATTTCTTTGATGGTATGTTTTGATACAAACCCACATACAACCAGAGAGAGAGAGAGAGAGAGAGAGAGAGGCTCTGTTGTTTTATGTGTGAAACTAAAAGAAAAATCTGGATGTTGAGGAGGCTAAGGAAGCGAAGGGGAGGGGGAGAATATATAAAGGAAGGTTGTTGGAGGATGCAACCTCATTACCTGCTTTTTTACTGCTATTTTTGGTAAACATATTCGTAATTTCGTATCCTTGGATGGTTGGGTGCATGCATAATTCTCAATTTTTTGCATAATGGGTTTCAGTCTCAAGATCATATTTTTGTATTCCATTGAAAGAGTCTCATATTTTTGGTGTGTTTGAAATAATTTACTCATATAACGATTAATCTTTTTTTTAATTCGATCAAAAAAAAGTTATTCATGTCGGGACTAGGACATTTATAAAGATAAATCTCTAATGGCCTGGGCCAATGAATTGCTAATATTAAAATTCAAAACGTTTAAATTTGCAGCTCGTCCATGTTATCACCCAAACTACCCTCGGTGATAGACACTATCTTTGAAACCAACACAAAATTTGACACAAAAGGGTTATAGTGTGACATGTTAGTGGGTCAAATATGGATCAATTAACAAGTCAATATGAACTCAGTTACATACGATATAAAACCACATAAAACATACATGATATGAACATCGTAAAAAAGTTTTATATATACAACATATATATTTGATACAAATTTGACTATAAACAATTTGGGAATGATTTAGAGCAAATTTGAATATGATACGATATGAGAAAACCATTGACAAGTATAAATTTTTATGATAAAAGATTGTCATTATACCAGTTGACTATACAGTCAATCTATCTACTTCGCTTATGACCTTATTCATGTTTTTACCATTTTGCATAGATACCAGAGTCCGTTTTCGGCATCAAAATCTCTGTTTACATGTTAGTCACATTTACTGTCCAGTAGAACTTCCATTTATGTGTCATATGCACTGTATTCTATAGCGTAGTAGATTCAAGTTCTTATTGAAGAGTGATTGTTGGAGGAGGCACCCTACCAAGTCTCAAATTAGTGGCCCTGCTGGACCACAGAGAGTTCAGA